TAGTAGTAGTAGTAGTAGTAGTAGTAGTAGTAGTAGTAGTAGTAGTAGTAGTAGTAGTAGTAGTAGTAGTAGTAGTAGTAGTAGTAGTAGTAGTAATAGCAGAAAGGCTGCGATCAGTAATCACCCTTGGTGATATTCCTGGTGCTACTGCATGTATCTGCGAGCTCTTGCCCGAGGATAGGAAGATATGTTGCCTGTTGTCGCGATATCGTTGCGCATACAGCTGGCGGGATCACACTAGCGTTTCCAGTAAGTTCTCGTCAGTAGTCCGTCCGTTGTCACGGATCGTATCCATTAGAAGCTTCTGATGTTGGAAGGTGCTATTTCGACGAAAAATGAATTCATTCGAAGTTGAATAATACTATCACTAAATTCCACAACATGATCCCGCTGACCTGGTAAGGACTTGAACCTGAGTTATAGGCATCCATGGTGATTTGGTTCTGGGTCCTGTGTAAGGCTGCGTGCAGTTTTAGCGTATCTGCACCCTGGACACAACTTGATGCAAAGTGGTCAAGGTGAATCCGAGGCAGATTATTATTAGCTGAGCGGAATGCCATCGAGTGACACGAACTGACACAAGGGAATCAAGATGCCCGTAAGGTCTGGCGCATTCTGCCCCGCAATCAAGATCCCTGCAGCTACACGTCCACCATAATTCGGCATGGTGTAGCAAAAGGCGTTCATTTGGGGTGTCTATTGCTCGTGACGGTAGAGATGTTGTAGGGGAAACATGTTGGATACCACAAATGCTTCTTGTGATCCTTGACCGGAGCAGCAGCTGTCGTTGTACGTGATGTTTCCGTATCCGCGCCACTCTATTGGTCTTGGCAGTTTCGGATGCTGATGACGTCGGGTTCTTCAAAAGACATCAACTGTATCTTCATCTCTCGCAGGGCGGAATTGTTGTTCACCATCACTGACAAATTTCATGAGATCGAGACTGGGACTTGAGAATGCTGTATTGAGATATGTAACGATCGCCTCGACATGGCTCTCAGTCTGTACCTTTTGACATTCAACTGCGGCCGTGCTTTAGTCCAGTCTGATGTCTTTGCTCCTTACTTATTTGATGCGTTAAATCCAACTTCTCAATCACCAGAGATTGTGGTCTTGTCCTTACAAGAAATAGCACCCATCAGCTACTCGTTCCTCGGTGGTTCATTCTTGACGCCGTACCTCAATGCTTTTCACAATGCTGTCAAATTGGCGACCAAGGATAAGGACCACAGCTATGTCAATGTCGTTACGAGGAATTTGGGAATGACGGCGTTGATGGTGTTTGCTCGAGATGATATCGCCGACAACTTTACCTGGCTTCAAACTGCCGGCGTTGGTCTCGGAGTGAGTGAAATGGGCAACAAGGGTGCAGTCGGTGTCCGGCTAGGTTACAAGATCTCTGAGCGGGAACAGATGCAGTTGACATTTGTCTCGGCTCATTTGGCTCCGATGGAAGACGGTCTCGAACAGCGCAATGAAGACTATAAGGGCATTGTGCAACGACTGGTCTTTGTGCCAGACCAAAGTCGGAAAGGTGTAACTCAAGATGAACAAAGTGAGGACGCACCGTTGTTGCAAGGGACAACTTCGCCACAAAACACCTCTGAGAGCGGCATATACTCTCCCGAATCATACCTCTTCTTCGCCGGTGACCTGAACTACCGTACCTCACTCCTACAACCTTCACCATTGGACGTCCAGCAGCGATTTCCTCAACCCACCCGAAATGAGGACGATCCGAAGCATTTTCGCCATTTACTTGCGGACGACCAGCTCACGCAGCAGATCAAAGCAGGGAAAACACTGCACGGATTGACTGAAGCTCCGATCACCTTCCCACCTACATACAAATACGAGAACGAGGGAGACAAGGCTGTCACATTGGACGGAGAAGGTGACTGGGCATGGGCACCCCACCGGTGGCCCAGTTGGTGCGATCGAATATTCTTCAAGAATGGGAATGAGGTCAAGGCGACCCCACGAAAATACACATGTCTACCTCTGTTTGCAACCTCGGATCATCGCCCGGTTGCGTTGGCTGTAACAGTGCCATTGAAGGCACTGTCAGATGTAGGGCAGGTGGACAGAGCACCTTTCGGAATCGACACATCATGGAAGACTCGACGGACCATGGCACGAAGGAAGGAATTAGCAGTGGGGGTGCTGGCTTATTTGACATTGACCAGAGAAGGTAATGGGTTACTGGCAGCATCTGTCATTGGTGCGATTGGTGGATGGTTAATCCTCAGATCGTTGTTGGTGTGATGACTGTGGTGACCACTTGGCCAGACACAAACGGTAAAGCTGGATAGGGAAGTTATGGGGGCGTGTTTTTAGAGGAGGGATTTCCGTGAGTCAGCATCTTGATTGTCCTGTCGAATGATTGCTGCTTGAACAAGAGATATAATCTGTACACTTGGCGCCACTGATGTTTTGGGTTCGGGAGAATGATTACACGAACAATGTTTCCAATGCTTCCATGCATGTTCTAGTGGGTAGAGAGGAGTCAGGAAGCAGCGTTGTATCGGGAGAGCAAACGTGTCGATGATCGTTGGTGATCAGGTACAAGTACAGTACTGGGTTATCATTAGACCGGAACGATCAACAAGAGGTTGATGGTCCACTTGCAAGTCTGGTGCCTGTACGCAATAGAAATTGTCGAATGGGTGAATCTTGGAACAATTTATGATCTTTGTCAGCCTTGCAGCGCACGTAGTCTCACAGAATGGGTAGTGCAGCCTCGATATGGTCATCACGTTGTCACCGCCGTTCAGATGCATCAAATGCGTTGTATTTTGATCGACCCAAAATTGACTAGTCGTCCACCTATTCATACAAGATCGTGTTAGACGACTTTAACAGTGATCTTTGCTGACGCCGAACCACGGAGACACGGCGAGGCTAGGGTCGGGTAAACGCTTGTCAGCATAGCCATCGCAACCACCACCTCCACCCTCCACTGTTGCGGTGCCTGCGTACCCAGAGTTGGACGGACCGAGGCGTGCGTGGTCTGATTACTGTGCTACTCCGTACTCCGTAAAGCAGAAACAATTACGGAGAACACATTCTTCGTTTTTGTGATCGTACGAGGACATGCGTACAGGGTAGGACAGCGGGCCACGAGGTCGCCGTTGGCCGCGGACATGGTCGGCTCAGAATCGTATGAGGGCTTCGAGATGGTCTACGGGTACGAAGGACAATGGCTCGAAGATGGGTCCAGGCCTTTGTGCAACATTGGAAATAGATCTGGACCTGAGACGAGAGTCAGGTGAGCACAAACGATGGTTTCAGGACGAAATTAAACCCGAACGTTTTGCTGGCTGGGATAACCGTGTTGGAGCTACAGAATAGGATATGGAGTAACAGTGTTTGCAGACCTAAGCGCATCACTTTGGTTCCGCATGGCATGATTCTGTCCGAGTACGCACATTAGGACAAACAAAGGACATGAGCATAATAATAACCGGGATTCCGTACGGGCCCGGTAGATCCGCCGTGAAGTTGGACCTCCGCAGGCAACCAGCATCGGAGGGCGGAATGGGTGATCAAAAGTCAAAGGACGAGGGAAATGGGAGCCTTGCATTGACTACGCTGAACTAAAAGATCAATTAATGCATATAATCATATCGAACACGCAAGTGTTTTGTTTGGGCCATGGCACGATCCGTACGGAGTAGTAAATAGACCCTGAACATGGTTGAGGACGGCGCGAGGAGACACGTAAGATGCTGGGCTGAGGGAGCCAAGGCATGCATGCGTACGGACTATGTATTCGCATTCAACAAAGTTTACCTGAAGTAAGCAGGAATGCATGTGAGCACGTTCGGTATTGAGTAATTTACCAGCGAGTGGTTGCCTTGGAAAGTGAAAGCAAAAGAAAAGCCCAAGTCGAGAATCATAACTTCATGCAGGGTGTCCAGGTAGATATTGTACCTGTAAGGCATACCTACCGACCTAGAGATGATAATTCGAGGCATACCAGCAGATCATCAACTTCCACACAGCAATGGGCCATTCAATTCGACCGTGACAAATGACTCCGCCTACTGATTAATTCTTACTATGGTTTTTTGAAGCGTACTAAATTCATTACCTACTGTACTCTTAAGAAACTGAGCCTGAAAGCCTGACGCCTGAAACTTAGTCCGGGGTCCGCCGTTGGTGAGCCTATCCGTAACCATTGGAAATGCCTGAGGCCTAAAAATGACAAGCCCAAGCTAGTCATTGAAGCCCCCTGTCACTGTCACCTGTAAGACTCTCCACTGGGCAGCGTTACTGAGCAGCAATGACAGGGGTAGGAAGAGTCGGACAGGGGGTACCGGGGCCAAGGGTCGTCGGGTTGACATACCCTGTGACACTTGCGATCCAAGCCCAGGATTACGATCACGCAGGAGAATGCAGAGAAATGCGAAATATTTCCAATACTACGCTACCGGAAGAACTCCCCCTGCTACGAGTACAATAGTAGTAGTCATCTGTACCACAAGACCTGGTATCAGACATACTTATCCCATCCCTGCAAACTCGTACGACTTACCACTACCGTAACTCGTGAAGACCGCATCTTCTACTCGTATATTTCCATCCGGAATCCCTTTGATTTCATCTCTTTCTTTTTCCTCTCTCTCTTCCATTACATCTCTCAACTGTCCAACACAACGTCTCTATTACTGTACAACATTTTTGGGTACTATACAAATCTACGCGCAACTACACCGTCAACCGACTCTGCGTCGAGTCTTCCCACGGTGATCAATACTCTATCTCGCACATCTCTTCTGGATACAGAATCTCGCTACATACCACGAGTTGTTGATCTTCCCTCTGCACGATCGAAACTTTCTCTCGTTTCCCTCATCACACTCCACTTAAATACACATCAATACAACCATCACCAAAATGTTTTCCTGCTCGAACCAGCCTCGGGGATGCCGTGGTCGTTGCGATACAGCTGGTGGGAAATGCTCCGAGTGTAGAGTACGTAAGCCCCTTTTCTACTCTGCCGTCTTTCTCTCTCACATTCATCCCCAACCTCCTCGTTTCTTCTGCCTTTTACACTCTTTCCTCAACGTCGACACATTGTTCTAACATATCAACCTCTCTGTAGATGTACAATTTCCGTGGTCGACCTAGCGCCAACAGACCCTTTCGCTCCGTGTTGTCGCAACCACCCAACTATCGGTCAGGACTCCGGACTACGTCATTGGAGGCTGATGTCACCATGCCGCTGTGCCCTGCAGATGAGATGAGATAGGGCAGCACCAGCACCAGCACCACCACTCATCTCGAACCAACCAACTACTTCCTTTCCCCCCCCTCATCTGCACAACACCGGACGTTGTCGATGACCACTTCGGATCCTCCTCGAACGAATGCCCGACTTCCCCATTCCCTCGGCCGCCGATGGGTGATCCCAACGGCGAGGCGCCCAACCCTACGACCACACTTGCATGAATGCACACGAACCCCCCTTTTTTGATGACCCTATCAAACGAACTGGTTTTATTTCGAGCGGGCACATTTGTTTTGCATGCCCACCGCCTCATTCTTCCTGCGGATTTGCGTCACCGCAGCACGAAACCCACGAAATCTTGTACCATGCTTGACTATTTTTTGTTTGTTTTTGTCTTTGCAGTCTTGTTGGGGTTCAGCGACGGCGTCTGGCGCAGCACACGAGGACGACACTAAGGCTGTACTCAGTACGATCATCATCTTTATCTTTTCCAAACCACAAACCATTATTGGGATTGTGAAAGTCTTTCAAATCCGATAACTTTCCCCAATCTACCAGCTTCCGAAGTTTCCACCTCACACGCACACACCCCTGGTCATTTCGGGCAGAAACAACGCAATCTACGCCGCGCCAAGACATGCACGCATGCATAAGTGCAGTCGTGCAATCATCTGGTTTTATTTGAGCATCTGTTGGGAAGCCTGGCCATCTGGCTTCCCTTGTACCACACACATTGATTGGCCTTTTTTTCTTTTGGCAGTACTGTACGACGGAATGGGAAACAAAAGCAACGAATGACGAACAAACGAACTTTTGCAGCGATTTTTGACAACCTTTGCTATACGTTATACCACGTGCGCATACACATATTCGCACACGCACACATGTCCTCTTCCAAGGGGTGGGAATTAGAATCTACAGGATCTGGATATTCTGAAAGCTTTTGTTTTTATTTCTTCATATTCATCAACCCGAGAAGGCTGAATTGGATCTGTTCAACAAAGATAAAGTATAAAGCTTATCAAGCATTTGTATTCTTTTATTCGCTTTCTCTTTTTTGTTTCTGTCTCAACCGCAGGGGTTGAACTGGAGTGAAGGGGCTCATATACGAGAATGTTTAGGACTCCATGTTGTCCTAGTATGTACCAAGTCTTCTGTGCATGAAGGAGCCTTGTTTTAGATTTGTATCTCTGAATACTGTACCAAGGCAGAAATAACCCCAAATCGAGAAAAGAATTTCAAAACACGCATCGCCATTTCTGGGTCACGTAGAATTCCCGGGCCTAAGTAATGCTCAAGTTGTCCGGAGCTCGCCAGCTCTCACTTCCTGCTGCTCCAACCGTAACCAAAATCGATGGATGATGCTAGCAACTTGATCACTTGCAGTTCTCACAAAGGCATGACCTTGCTTCTCTACGACCTCGACATTCTCGATCCCCAACCCGGCCAACTTCTCCTTATTACATACGGGGTCCAACTCTGCAACGACGGCCAACTTTTGGAAGGATGGGCACTGCGCAAAGTTTTCAAACAACTTCTCGCACCCATACGCGGCGCCGTCTCGAAACATACTGAGCACACTCTGCCTGTACCCCTGATGTTCTCGCAACTCCCAATCCTTCAACGCTTCCGCCACGACCTCTCCACGCCGTGACCTCTCCTTCCAATCCACCGGCACTTGCAACGTCCCACCTTCTAGAAACTCCAAGACGCACTCTGCCGCCTCCTGCTCCTCCTCCTCTCGGCCCGTCGTCGAGGAAGAATCATTGTTGAGCAATTCACGCATCCGCCGGCTGAACGTGGTCTGATCCAACAAACCCGCCGGCGCCAGGAGGACGGCCGACCGTACCGTCCATGGGTGGTGCTGTGCGAAGCTGACCACGACACAAGCGCCGAAAGAGTAACCCACCAATTCCGCCGAGGGCCACTTCATAAAACTCAACACCTGTAGGATCTGGAGGTGAAAGACGTGCGGCGTGTGTGCCAAAAGGGGCGTCGAGGAAAGCCCGTGACCCCAAAGGTCGAATAGGACCACGTGCGTGTCGCCGGCGGCGTCCAGGTTTTGTATTGCCCTCGCGAGGGACAACATACCCAAAGCCGGCGTGTTCAGGCCGTGAATGAGAAGGACTCGTCTGGTGGTCGCCGACGGAGACGATGACGACGAGTGCCCTCCTGCTCCTCCTCCTCCTCCTCCCCTCGATGAAGCCGGCGGCGGCAACGAATAAACCGCAGTCGTACCCAGGTCGGACGTCAGCATATGTGGGACGGGGAAGGCATGGCCGAAATGCGCCGTGAACGAGTCTCGGTTTGGGGCTGGTATCGTACGTTTCGAATTTGGTTTGGGAATGGCCAATGGTCGAGTGATTTCGAAATCCCTTGGTGAAGGAGGTATGGGTATGGTTGTGTCCATTGTTTTTCTCCAAGTACGGAGTACAGTAGGGGTACAGTATTTAAATTAAGGAGCCTTTGACAAAAATTATTCTTGGTTCGTATAGAGTGTCTTGACGGTCCCAA